CCCCAAAACCCCAAAACCCCAAAACCCCAAAACCCCAAAACCCCAAAACCCCTTTCTAAACTTTCTAGATATATAATTTAAAATTTGTGAATAGTTTAAAATGAACAAACCTGAAATTGATAGTTATGGGCAACTTGAGGATGACCTCTATAATAACGATTTAGATCCCCAGTATTCACAGCAAAGTAAGGATTAAAGTTTATGCATAAATTTAGACAATCCTGGGCAAGGAAACCCGTTTGGGAGCCAATCTCAACAGAACCAAATTCCTAGAGGATTCAGACAAATGGAGCAAGATCATGATCAATACAAGCAGATGATGGATGTGTTTAAGAAGGATACAGCAATGCTTAATAAAAAGCCAAAGAAGAAGGATCATTTTCAAAATGATGAGAATGACCCTTCTACCTACTCAAAAGCAGAAGAAAATTTCAATATTGATGATGTTCCAATTGGATCAGCAGAGAATAACTTTGGAAGCGCCAAACAGCCTCCTTCAAATCCAAGTTCCAATCCGAAAGCAAACAAAGCTCCAAAGAGGACTTTTCTGAAAAGGTCTGGAAAGAGTACTTTGCCTAAGAAGACAAAGAAATATACATACTACGCCTCTAATTTTAAACAGCCAGAGGAGAAAGACTTTGCTCCTAAAGAAAGTAGTAAGCCAAAGACTCTGAACAGGTCTGCTTCAGTTTCGCATCAAATCCAGCCTGCCAAGGTTGAAACCCCTGAAGAGAAAGATGGCTACAACTCTGTGGAGGAATTCGAGAAGCTTGAGGAGCAGTGCATCAATGATACTATCGATGAAAATCCCCAACAAAAGTAACTAATCACATTGACGATATAGGTCTAAAATTGAAAAGAAAAAGCCACTTACTGCAATGGAAATGGTCGAAAAGAAAATGAAGGAGCGAACCAAGAAATTATTTGATGATTTCGAATCAGATCAAAGTGAAAACAGTTCCGAAGAAGAGGTAGCTCCAAAGGTAACTCAGAAGCAAGGCAAGAAGAGTAATGTTGTCAAGAGGATGATCTACAACGAAAAGTCTGAGACTGCTCCAAAGCCTAAACCACAGAAGCAGGAGGGTATTCCAAAGGAACTTGAGGAAATCCTGAACCAGAAAAAGAGAGAACTAGACTTTGTCATCCAGAACTACAAGCGAGAATATGATATGTGGTGTAAATCTGAGAAGGAGTACTCCAAACTTCTCAATGAGTACAACCGCAACAGCCGTCTTAGCGCCAGAGAGGTTGAGAAAATGAAAGAAGAGGTGGATAAAAGGATTGAAGAAGAGCGCAACAAGCTCAAGAGAGATAAGCGAGTCGCCGAGAGACAGAACAAAACAATGAAAAATCTCCCAAATCGTAGAGAGCGAGAAGAAATTGAAGCATTGAATAAAGAATTGAAGAAATTGAACGAAAATATCAAAATTAAAGACCAAAGACATAAGTTGAATATTGAGAGGCTAAAGAAGCAAGTCAATGAAAGTAAGAAGAGAAATGATGAGCTGATGGAAGAACGCGATAATGTCCACCAAGCCCTTCAGAGTTTGGATTACCAAGAAGACCAAGAACATGGGGACGATAGGGATGATTATAATGAAGAGAGAAAAGATCAAAAATTTGGCGGTTCAAATAAGAATCAAAATGGGAATGATAAAAAGCAAATCAATTTTTATGAGCAGGTAAATGAAGAAAGTAAAGGTAGTGAAGCTCAAGATTATGACTCTACCAGTCATTCTCCTCATTTCGGATCTCAAAAATTTGATTTTGAAGATCAAAAAGTATCCAAAGCTCAAGAGACTTCTAATTTTGCAAGACCAATATACCTCAAAACCCTACATGAAAAACCTTCTTATGAGGAGGCAAACAGCTCTTCCCCTAGAGATGACGCTGAAGAAGAAGAGGATGCACAGGAAGATCATCAGTCAGATAATACTCCTGAGTTCGAGTATGACTCTAACACTTATGAAATGAGGCTATCCCCTCAATACCACAACAATGATGAGGATAATTGAACCGTCGTCCAAGAGAACACCAGTGCTGATGGTAAGATCGTCAGATGGTATGCCAATAATAAGAAAGAAGTAATTTTCAAATAAAGGTGTCAGGAAGGAAATCTTCCCAGATGGATATACTATAGTCTACTTCAAAAACAAAGATGTTAAACAGACCTATCCTGATGGCACAGTGGTATATTATTTTGACGAGGCTAAGACAACCCAGACAACCGATGTAGAAGGAACTCATATTTATAAATTCGAGAATGAGCAGATTGAAAAGCACTATCAGGATGGGTCTAAGGAGATACAGTTCCCTGATGGAATAATTAAATGAATATACACAGATGGCTCTGAAGAATGAGTCTACCCAGATGGCTCAATTCAGACAACTTCAAAGGAAGGAGTCAAATCAAGAAGATATTAAGCAACCGCTAGATTAGAGAAAATTAATTAATTTTATGATGTGAGTCAGTTAGAGGGGTTTTGGGGTTTTGGGGTTTTGGGGTTTTGGGG